AAACACATATTTTTAAAAGACTTAAAATTGTCAAAACTCAAGGATTTGTTTTTCAAGGATGGTACAGTGGTGGTATGAATATGGCTTTCTGTCAAACACCTTGATAACTCTCTTGTACAGCTGTTCTATGGGTTTCAGATTTGTGGCACAAGCAAACGACCAGTTTGTAAAACAGTATTTAATGTGGGTAAATGTCCCCTCACCAGTCTCTACTCAAGTCCCTACTCAAGTCTCTACTCTATGTCCTGTGCTGTTGGGGGCTCCGCCGACAAAGTAACGCGTTACTGTAACGCCCTTATTCAAATTCAGTAACTCAGTTACCGTTACTACATGGTGCGTTACTCCGTTATTTTTTTTATATAGTCTTGGCTCCCAGACGTTGGTGAGCGGCGCCAACAGCGAGGCGAACAGAGATGAGAACTGTACTTAAGTACAGTACTTGAGTAAATGCACTTAGATATTTCCTGTGTCACATGCGGAGACGCGCTGTGGGCGTGTTTGTGTTTACTAACAAGACTATCATGGCGGCGGAGGAGCTCAAGTCGAGTTTTCTCCGCCTGGAGATATTCTCACTATTTCACTTTTGTCGAGCACAAAGAAAAGAACGTTTTAGTTAAATGTAAGTTGTGTCTTTGCGGGTCAAAGATCCTATCTACTGCCCAAAACAGCAATTCAAATCTGTTGAAACATCTGCAGAAACAACATGCAGGGACGAAGCTAGTAGCTAAGACCACAGACCCAGACTCATCCGACGCCACTCCACCTCCACCTAAGCAACAGCGGCTGGATTTTAACCGAGGGACTGCTAGCCAGGGAAAAGTTGATAAAGCCATTGCACGGTATGTTGTAGAACACATGCAGACTATTTCTACTATTTCTATTTCTTGATCAACAGATTGTATTATTCTCCAATGCAATAACATTACTGAAATGAAGGCTATAAGGGCATTAATTGGAGCCCTTTTTTAAGTTACTGTTCACACTATCGCAAGTAATCAGTAAAGTAACTGAGTTACTTTTGAAATGAAGTAACTAGTAATGGTAACTAGTTACTGGTTTTCCGTAACTAGCACAACACTGTTCAAACATAAACACAATGAATCAGCTGACTCACTCCTGCCAAGACTGACAAAGCTCCCCCACAACCCTCATTCTGCCAGTGGTGATTTTCAGCAGGGAAAATATCAGATTGTATCTTCATGTATGTGTTTCTTCAGCCCAGTGTTTTAAAACTCTATTGATGGGATAATTGGGCACTGGGCTTTTACAAAATAAATATATATTATTTATATCATACGAAGGGCTTTTGCAAAATCACCCAATATCGCCATTCTTTTCTGGAAATTAATTTTGTTTCTTTGTTTCTCGATTGGTAGAGCCTTTGGACCAAATACCGTTGTATTAACCTTTTATATAAAAGGTGAATTATTTAAAGCGAGTTTGTCTGACTGAACCATCTGCTGGCTGTTACAAGGGCAGCAACACTGTGGTGTGTTGATAAATGCTGCAGTTGGTAGCAAATAGATAATAGATGTTATTCAATCATAATTATTAACTGTATAGCATTCGTGTGTTGCTCTGTCTGCCAGAGTGTGGTTTGTGCAGTTTGTAGAACTGGACCACAGGTGGAGATGTTATTGCACAGCACAATCAAAAGCACAAGACAGCAAGGACAGTTATGAAATGATTTTTGAAAAGAGGCTTTACATTTTCAGCCAACCTCCAGGAAAAAAAAGGCAAACATTCCCTATGATAAGCAGACTTGGCAGCACACACTCAACATGACACATAATGTTTGCTGGACGTCTATAACGACCAACTGCCCTGCCCCTTCATTGGTCCCTTGGCTGATTTCTGAGCTGCTCTGGCATCGGGGCCTGAGGCTTAGCATGCATAACTCTGCAGGATGAACAGAACTGGACTCTTTTCTAGTATTAAGTAACATCACTTTTCTCCAGTGTGTCCGAAACAAAATGCAAAGCCATCCCAGCAGGACCCTCCTGCACTGTCAGTGGTCGACAATAATTCTGAAGCGCGAGAAGGATGCAGATCTAATCTCCAATTTGCTCGTTTCTGTCCGTTGGTGTGCGTTGGCCCAGTGCGCTCACACGCCACACAGAGGTCTCTAAGTTTGTTTGTTTCTTCACTTATATTACGTTTATACTCTATGAATGAATCGGTCTTACCAGATGACGTAGACACAGGTAGAAAGTAGTAAAATAAGTAGAAAAAAATTAAAATAAACAACTTAAATTGGCTTTGACTCTAAAATCTCCTTCCCCTGCCTCTGGGGGAAGTACTACTGAGCATTTTTGCAAACTTGTTTCAAACTCTACACTCAACACAGCGATGATGCAAAAATATATCTTTACATTTCTACTCTAGTTATCTGACTGACTGTCCAACAACATTAGATGAAAAATAAATAAATCCCATTATAAATATTTAATTTTGTTTAGGTTGAATGATTTATTCTAATTATAATTGTCATAACTAAGAAGGGATACGTTGATACTACTATGATACAATTACAGATATAAAAAAAGGTGTAAATAAGTACAAACATAGGTTCAGTGGTATAAAGTAATTACTGTAAGTAGATTTAGATTTGTACTGTATTTACTTGAGTATTTCAATATTGTTGCTACTTCGTACTTCTACTCTACTACAATTCAGAGGTAAATGGTGTACTTTACTCCCCTACATGTATTTAATACCTTTAGTTACAGATGTGGATGAATTATGTGAAATCTAACCAAGTGTTAAATCAGACTTTAGTTCCCCACTGGAGTAAATTCACAAGCTACACCTGCCAAGTATACAAAGCCATCTAAACTACAGTAGCTAGCTGCAACCTTTACCAGCTTTGAGAACACTTTCATGATCAATAGCCGCTTTCACACCAAGTACTTTGCCGTACTTAAGCTTCCCAAGCACTGTGTCAAGTGCCAGCACATCACCAGCGCTTCACACCGGGAATAAGTCCCTGAGGGAGGATTAGGCAAATGAAAGCGCGCTGACATCAACTTCATTCTTCTTCTCTGCTTTGGGTTTATTGGCAGCCACAAAACCACTTCACGGCGTATACTGGCCACTCGAACCACCCCGAAGTGACAGTAGCTGGCATATTAGTCCGGCCGAATGGACCAAATGTCCCGGCTCTGGCCTTGAGATCCCACATTATTAATCGATGTGAAATCTAACCAAGTGTTAAATCAGACTTTAGTTCCACCTGGAGTAAATTCACAAGCTACCCTGCAGTATACAAAGCCATTCAAACTACAGTAGCTGCACCTTTACCAGCTTTGAGAACACTTTCATGATCAATAGCCGCTTTCACACCAAGTACTTTGCCGTACTTAGTTCCCAGCACTTGGTGCCAGCACCCCCATCGCGTTCACACCGGAATAAGTCCCTGAGGGAGGATTAGGCAAATGAAGCCGCTGACATCACTTCTTCTTCTTCTGCTTTGGGTTTACTGGCAGGCCACAAACCACTTCACGGCGTATACTGCCACCCGAAGTACCCGGCCGGAAGTCCCCGGAGTTGGACTCATATTATTCTGAAATGGACCAAACTGCACAACGACTACTTTTCCTTCATGCTCTTACATATATAGAAATCGGATGAAATAATAATAACCATAATAATAATAATAATAGAACTGTGAGAAGATCCATTCTGCATGACGAGTGTACTTTTGTACTTTTACTTAAGAACAATTTTGAAATCAGGACTTTTAATGGTAAAGGGGTATTTTAAGACCCTAATATTTCAAGGATCTGAGTACTTCTTCCAACACAAAGAGGACACACTTGTTGAGTTGGCCTTACATAATGTATGTCTTTACCTCTGTATTTTGTTGTTTGTTATACCCGTTCTTTCTTTGGACAACAAAGACATTGAGTAGTATGTGACTGTACTACTACAGTAGGAAACACATAAGGACGTTCCCCCTCACTGTGCTCATGTTTTCATCATACATTATAGTATGTTTGCCTCCATATAGATGCATTGCAGTTATGATGTTGGTCGCTGTGCATGAGGAATTCTGCTTTTTGGCGCTGTTCTCCAAAGTGACTTACAGTGAGTATTTCCAGCAAGGAAAGAAAGTGACTGATGGAGGAAGGAAGCAAATGAAAAACAAGTACAAGAGAAGGCGAGAGTGTGCAGAGTGACACATGGAGTAATAGAATATGGCTAAGTTATTCTCCAGGAGGGAACGATCCCTCTTCTTTATCTGTTTCCTCTTCCTGTGTTTTGTCTGCTTGTCTCTTGTTTTGTGAGATATTTCTGTCTGCTTCTCTCTTTTTCATTCGTCTTTATTTCAGTCCTCTTCCCTTTGTCAGTTGCTCCTGTTTTATTTATTATTGAATATGGCCCTGCAATTTTTTTAGAACTGTCACTGTGAAAGAAAAAGAACCAAGACTTCAAATCAAGTGTTTTACTCTCTCAGAGGACATCCTTACCCTGACATACTTTAGAAGCAACAGGACCCAGGTCGGGGCTTTAGGTGTGTATTGGAAACTATGGTGACCTTTACATCAAACTGTGAAAGGCTCTCTGTAGAGGCAGAGTTTGGTTTGTCTGTTCTGAGTTATAGTAGAAACATGATGACTCTGTTAAGAGGACCTGCTCCATGTTCAAATGTGAATGGCTCATTATAAGCTCAGAAAAATGCTTCTTAGATTCAGGTGATTATACATTAGCACAGATTTTCTCCCTAATAATCCTGCATTATAAGCAACAGAAATGTGTGTTGGAATCAGCAAGGGTTCAAGAGTAGCTCAAAATACTTTTTGTCTCGATCTCCACCATGGTCACACCATGGTGATGCAGCAATAACACATGAACACATCCAGAGGGGTAAAAGTCTGTCGAACAAAATGATTTGAGTTGTATATTGTTTGTACTTTAGTTAGTGATTTGTATGTGCATGTGACTTATACTTCTGTATTACAGTGCAGTTATGTGTGTTCATGTGTGTATATGGCTTTTACCTTATCCAAGTAGGTGTAGCTCCAAATCTTCCCGTCAGCGAACACTCGGGAAATGATTCGTCCCTGGCTGTCATACTCCCACTTCTCTGTGGTGGGACCCCTCTGGAGGCCAGTCACCTGCCCCGTACTGCACACACACACACACACAGAGGTTAATATCTGAGGCCTGTACGACAAAGCCGGTTCAACCTAACCTGGATATGTTTGAGTTACCTGGCTTACCTAATCCAAAACAAACCCGCTCTCGCTAAACTGTCCTACGATGCTGGCTATCAACTTGTTAACTCAAGCCAGCCGTGTCCTATCTAGTTAGGTGCGCGTTCACATGAAAGGGGTTGTATCTGGAGCATTCGACCAATCACAAACATGGACAAGCTTACTGACAGCGCAGCGTCATACTTCCTGAATGAAAAGTCGACTATAATATTAGTCAAAAATGAAGACGTTAAACTTTAAACATCCATGACTTAAACACTTTATCCAGGATAAAAGCCACATAGCTGCACCTGCAAGGTGAATACAGCTGGTAAAAGAAAATGTGTTTGAATGCGTACATTAACAGGTTTATGATATCACTGACCCGTCTAAGACATGAGTGGATCTGACTTTAATTACATTTGTCTCGAGTGTTTCGTCAACTTAATGTGTTGCTTAAAATAATACTTCTGCATACAGTATGTGACACTGTGAGTGTTGCACGGCCAGATACGGCTCAGCTGACTCAGATAAGGAAATATATGATACATTATGATGTGATATGATGTGATATATGAATGATAATGGGACACATCGACGTCTGCACTCACAGTGCCGCGGACTGTACGTAATGTTACTTTGATCCGGTAACTTATGTTAACTTGTTGCAGATAGTTAATTAAGCTTTCTTATCGCTAATGTTATAATAGTCGGATTGCTCTGAGGATGGGAGGTGATATTCTATTAATGTTCACGTTCACACAGTCAGTTGATTTTTGCCAGCCGTCTTTCCTGCAAACGGCAGTTTAAACTGTATTTCCTTTCCCTGTAATATGACTTAATAGCTTTAAACTCCGCACACGGAGCTCTGATTGGTCAGCAGGCGGTGCTTTCACTGACTTGATCTCTCATCCTGGAACCTAACCTGCTCCGGACCAGGCTAGCCGTTCAGCATAAGTTACCATGGAGATCTAGCCCGCTAAGAAGTGAACCAGCGTCGTAGGACCGGAAACCATGGACCATAGTGTTTCTATGTTACTTTGCCTTCTCAGAGTAGACAACATAGAAACAAGTTTCAATATAAGGCATTCCAGTAAATCACCACCATCAAATAGGACCATTCTGTAGACACTCCAGAGAAACGCGATCCTGCGATCGCAGAATTTACCGCATAATCAGCAAAATGGCACAGATTTTTTAAAAGGCCGCATATTTATCAAAAGGCCGCATAATCCCCGCAAGTTGAGNAAGCCAAACACCTCACGTTCACCGAAGCATCGAGGGCTACAAGAAACGAAGTGAGTAGCCTACAAGATTGAAAACGAACGAGTAAATGAAAACAGAATGAGGCGGAGAAGTGTGTGTGTGTGTGTGTGTGTGTGTGTGTGTGTGAGAGAGAGAGAGAGAGAGAGAGAGAGAGAGTGATTAAAATAGCCCCATTGCTTTTACAATAAATAAACATTGAATGTGTTTAAAAAGGGGTTTAACGTTAGTGGCAGGTTGTGTGTGAGAGAGAATAAATAAGATGTCCCAATATTTAAAAAAAAATCAATTCTTTTTCGCAACTTTCCGCATATTTCGCAACTTTCCGCATATTTCGCAACTTCCCGCAATTTCACCGCATAAAATCACATAAAACCCCCGCATGTTTAATCGCACAATCAAGGATTTTAGCCCGCATTATCAACGATTTTTGCCCGCGTTTTTCTGGAGGGTCTAATTCTGAAAATGTCAATAAAAACTACGTCAGAGCTTTGTGAAAGTAGAAGTTCAGGGCAGATTCCATAAGAAACGCCAGTGTCCAGATTCAGCTGCCATTGAGAAAGACATTAACTAGTTTGTTTGTTTCATATTAACCTACATGCTCCGACATAATCTACTCCATCTAAGAGGATTTTCTTATTTTTCTCTTTTCGTTGAGCAGAAATGTGAAAGGTTGTGTGTACAGCAGAAATACTGGGACTATCCCTTTAAACTGAGAAATGGTTGGACTTGCCTTTAGACCCCAATGCCACTGGCCTACCCTTTCCAATTACAACCCTAAGATAACACATACTGGTATATAGAAGCACTCACCTGGAGTATGTGAGGTTGACTGACAGCAGCTTGCTGCTGGGAACCCACAGTGTGGGATGGCCTTGTGTGTCATAGATGATCTTCAGAAGGAACTTCCTGTGGTCATCATATATTTTCTCTGTTCGCAGCGAACGGTCGTAATCCACTGACAGCAGGTTCCTACCATTCACCTGCAGGGGGGGACACAAACCAACAACCACTGCATAAAGACACTCTCCATATACATCTATGATGAGTGGAAACATGAATGTTTAGTATCTGTAGCTGATTATACCACATGTGGCGCCAGAGGAAAAGCTCATAATTGATAAAGTTGATCCTTTGGATAGCATGGAAATGCTCGGTTCACGAAAGAATACCCATAAGATTAAAATGTATTTTGTTGAATGTTTTTGTTGAAGACTAAGAACTTCAAACTAAAGGAATTAACCATCAGATGTCACGACCATCTGCACAGAAACACATACATCATTTTTATATTGTCCCAGATCTTAATCCGTCTGTTTTTTTTTTAATTCTAAGACATAATAAATATAGCATCAATAATAATTTAGGATGAGCCAGCTGGCTAATCAAACAGATAAAGAATAAAAAAAGTGTTACATTATTGTTAATAACAGGCTGTTTGAATCCACATAAGGTGCCTCAGGCAGTGAATTCAAACAAACTTGTGATCCAACACCCATAAAACACTGAGGCATGATAGAGCCAGTCTGCCGCTCTTTATCGCTTTCTAAATGACGTGCTGTTTGTTCAAACTACCATTTACCAAGATAGATAGCTCGGGTCGGAGCTAACAACTTTCTGGATCCTTGAAGCCAGGGAAGTACTTAGAATTAGCCAATCAACAGTTTTACAGACTGGCTTCATTAAGGGGAGAGGCTTGCTGGAAAACGCTCAAGACTCATTTCCTCTTTTTTTTATATAGCCACTCATTTGTTTGTAAATTAGGAGCAGTTTATTGCAGCAAGGTGAGTAAAGGGGCAGAGAAGAGGATTTGGACGGTGGCTAGTAGCCAGCTGGATGGGAAACCAGAGAGGAGAGCCACATCATATCAGGAGGAATACATCATTTTGCAGATTGGCATGGCCTGTCATGTTCATAATAATTGGAGGCAAACTGAGGCTTTTACTGCAATGCCAAACAGGAATCTCTAATGGCTGTCATCCTTTGTGCAGAATAACCCAAACTGAATGGGATTTAATAACTAAAGTACTTGTGTGGGGGGTTTGGGATAGCTGACAGACCCTGAGCATTAGTACATTTCTTTAGTGTGTTGATAAACCTAGGAAAACATGCAATACAGATACAAAACATCCTATTACCAAGTGACCTACATACATTCAGGTCATCTCACAGACATGTTGCTGTGTCTGACAGACACTAGGTGTTTTCAGTATTTCCTCTACCGAGATGCTAAAACATTCAGTTTTCCATTCACTCACATCTTGTGTTCAATGCACATTCCTTACTGGGATTAGCAAACAAAGCAGCATGATAGCATTTAGCAGAAAGGCTGGAATGAAGTTCCCTGCTGCACTGAAAAAACTGAAACGTTGACTTAAATTAAAATATTATGTCAGCAAATTTCACATAGGTTAGTTGAAAGCAATAATGTTGTGTTTAAATAAGAAATATTAGGTTCAACTTAGAGTTATTGCTTTCAACTAACCTAAAACAGTTGACATTTGTTGACATAATTCATTTAATTAAAGTCAACGTTTCAGTGAGTTCATCCAGCCTCACAGCCCCCCCACCATCATTAACGCCTCACTCTGGCATCATGGTGCTGCAGCAAGACAGCTCCACTGTCACTTTAACACAGATCTTCACTGTCACAAGCATCTAGCCGAATTATAGTGTGTACATACTGCACACCCATTTACAAAAACACATCTACCTGCAAGTCCTTATTGCTAGCTTAACAATGACCTCCCCATTACCATCAGGGCAGCACACATGCTGTCACACATGAATGGCTCCACTGTGTAGATCAAACTCTGAAGCGGTAATATTCAACACTGCAGGCACATCACTGTCCCTGCCTTCTCCTAACAGCTCATAACAACAACATATATAGAATTTTTTTAAGAGTGAATGTGTGTCAATATGTGCTGATCATATATTTATTGTAAATATATATGATTAAATTAAACTAGTCCCTATCCATTGGACCACATGAATTGAGTCGAATACTATCGATGAATTGAACAACATGCAGTGTAACCCTACTCTCAGTAAAGACATGTACTGTAGCAGCCATATAGGCATATTATTATTTTTGGTAAATGTTTATGTTGGCAAGAAAGTTGTACATTCTTTGAATTACATTTTTTTTAAAATACCGGTACTGTTTTTGTATAGTTTTATATGTTTCTGGAATGCGTAAGGTTTATGTTGATTATTGTTTACGACCTGATTTCATGCCGTAAAGCAGAGCGCAGGTCCACAAATAAAAAATGGTGCTAAGCCAATCATACATAGGGAATTCTACAAGTGTGGCACGTCTAATAGTAATACTAGTGATTGTTTATGAAAATCGGCCACTAGAGATGACGGCAGACTATGTAGATCATCGGTCAGAGATGAGTTGTTCTGTTCTCCGGTTTCTGGAGAGCACTCACCCTGAGCTTCCTCCCGAACACAATGACTTTCCCCCGGGTCTGCTCCTTCCTGAACCTCCACTCCACCAGGTTCTGGCCATTCTCTCCTGGCAGCGTCATGTTGCGTCGGGCTACAGTTGGGTTAGCAGCACCTTCAAATGGATATGAGAAAGACATAAATACCATCAATATCTTAAGATGAAAAAATATGCAAAGCAAGAAAAAAGCAGTGCATCAATATGTCCATGAGAACTGTGTGTAATGTTTGGGAATGGCCTGGGAAATTATTATTTTTGACAAGTTGATAGTTTTAACAAATGAAACTGTTGATTTTTCACTTTATTGCAATGTCCTGGTCACCTTGTGCCATTCTTGTGGTTCTGCAGAGCTTCACGGTGCATAGTAGATCATCTTAATCCTACTGGTACGGTTATAATACTGAGCTCTTTTTTTTATCAACACACACACATTTATACAAATGTTGACTGTATAGACTTGGAATCGACCGCTCTTCCATGAGTAACACAAATCACATATGGTATTAATCCATTTTAATTGCTACTGACTATGTTCCAAAGCATGCTGTAATGCTTTAGTTGTAGAACATGATGTAAAACATCAGCCTGCAGAGACATGACACTTGATTGGTCATTATCACTGCAGCAGAGCTGGAAGAAGTAAAAGTAGCAATACTACGGTGTAAAAATACTCATTCGAAATTGTACTTAAAGAGCAACTAGCAGGTTAGAGACCCAAGTGAATAAATGTGTAGGAAAATGATGTATACACTAGATTTTCCCAAAAATATACAGAAATATACACTATAGTGACATCTGGCGTCGTTTTTGTAAGACATTTTTACTTCAGCATAAAAAAAGACCACCCGCGTGTGACGTCACATGGGGCAGTGGCGGCGCCAGGGTATGGCTGGGGTAGGCTACAGCCATACCAAGAAATGGCTTAGCCCTACCTTAGCCCGACCATGAAAAATGATGCTAAAGTAAGCATGTTGAGAACACGGATTGCGAAAATCTAGCGGTCGTGTCCACAACACACAAATTGATCCTGAAGTGCACGCTACTGACGCAATATGGTTGAGACCATTCGGGCTTATGCTGGAGGGGTGTAAGGAATAGTCTAAGTAGTGGGGGAGTTTTATATACTAAAGGTGTGGAAATTGCACGGCCGCGGTCAGATCAAAATGCCTCCGAATGCAATTTGAATAGACCTACAGCCAATCAGAGCAACGAAACGTTGGGTCTGATGCGTCATGCATTACTGATACGTCACGTTCACAGTGTTAAAAGTCCCCAAACTTGCGCCGAGTAAATTGCAGACGGACAGCAGAACTTCTAGGATTAACTGTATATTTCGGATGGATAGATTTGTTCTTAAACGCCCTCGCATTGAGGTACAACAAGTCGAACAGGCGCTTTAATGTGACCCTACAAGGATGCCTTTACGGATTTACACAGACTCATATGCATTTCCCTGACTCTGCCTGTGACCTCTGCTGGCTGCGAACGCAGCTTCTCCTGTCTCCGTTGCATCAAGAATTATCTAAGAAACAGCAGTGGTGATGCACGGAACAGCAACCTGGGCCTGCTGGCTATCAATAAGCAGAGGAGTAAGCTACTGGATGTCCAGCATGTCATTGACATTT